GAGCCAGGGGATAATTCTAACACAGCTGCTTCAGGCTGAGCCGGTGAACACATCGCAGCCCATGCTGGGGGCACTCCATGTCACATCCCAGGAGCCCACCCCCTTTTACTGCGGTAGCTTCATCGGGTAGTTCAGTGTGAACTTGACACTCCCACCTCAAGGACTACACTCTTTCAACGTTCTGTCTCAGACCTTCTCGGAGCAAAAGCGGCACCCAGCTGATGGAGGAGAGAGCAGGCATGCAGTGCGCCGGCTCAAACTGTGTCCTTTGGACAATAAAGGGAAGAGTGACTCCTAAGGTTTGGAGAACTGGGGTTGCAATGGCTGTGTGGCTTTTCACAAATCAGTTAACCTCTCCATTTCCTAGTCTCCTTAACTGTGAGTAGGGCTAATCATATTTAATGTGGACTCTTGTCTTCAGCATTAAATGACATAAAGAATGTAAAGTACTTGGTTAAAAGGAGGTGCTCAAAACATTAAAAATTTTTACCTTACTTCCAACCCAAATAACCCTGTAAGATAATTAAGGCAGTCCATGTTTTCATCATCTTGTGGGGCAAAAGCAAACCTAGAGCGTTTAAGTGACAGATCTCAAATTTCAAAGGGTATCGATGGCAGAACCAGGTCAGGAACTCAGATCTCTTGGCTACTACCGGTCAGTGCCTTTTCCCTATTTTGTATTCTGCTGGGATCTTTTCCTCAAAAGACAGTAGGAATTTTCAACTTATTGACTAATGTTAGAAGAAGAAAAAACAAAAAAAAAGCTAATGGAACAGAAAATATTTTCCTTCAAGTAAAAGGCACTTTGACTAAGTGACAAGTACAGTCATTTGGTTTAGGGTATGTTATTTAAACAAACCTGCTGCTTAATATTACCTGGCAATTGCCCGATGCTTTAGTTCCTTTTAAATGATATAACCCGGCCTCAACTCCCCTCATAATGCCTCCATCTCTACAGTTGTCTGGGTCTGTTTGCCTCTGGACGTTGAATCTCTCAGAATTGTGTTTGAAAAACCAGCATTGACTTACATCAAGCCTGGGCACTCTCTGCATCTATCCCAGGCTCTCACTTGGGGCCTTTGGGCTGATGTACCTGGTCAGTTTGCACAATTAGTCAAGTCACTCTAAGGGCCACTTGTCTGATGGGGACACCAGCCGACCCGGTGACTGCATCACAACCAGACTTGGCTCTTAATAAGCCCTCTCCACTCAAACAGCCTGGTCTGTGTCCTCCTTGGGTTCAAATGCTCAAGTCTCACCTCTCCAGAAAGGGTCTCCTACCCCTTCAGCCTGCAGTGATTTTTGCCTTTTGAAACTCAGAGTCACTTTTATTGTTTCATTCGGCATTTGTTTAGCATTTGGCGATTTCTTTATTTTTACCCTTATTGTTTAATCCTAAACTGTGTTCTATTATTAGTTTTCCTTTTGCTCTGTAAATCTTGTCTCCCCAGTGAGACTGCGGTGTTTTTGAGCTTAGAATAATGTCTTACGGTTCTTTTCATTTCCCCACAGAGCACCCACAGTGCTAGAGTCGTGCTCAGGAAGTACTTGTTGAATAAATGAACGGATGGTGACTGAATTCGGTGGCATTGCAGAATAGCAAGTATTTTATTAGAGGATTCCCAAGGGTTCAAGGTTTATAAACCTTGTGTGTTTTGCGGTATAAGAGTTATGATAGCTTGTTTTGAAAAGAATATGGGAAGTTTCTCCTTGGAAATCACTGCCCTCCAAATTCTGTCTACCATCTTACTCCAAAATTAAAAATAAAATAACATAAAGTCTCCATAGTATATTCTATAAAAGCTGAAAAACTGATTTTAGATTCCTGAAGAAAAAGAAGCATGGAAAAAAATACCCCCTAAAATCTTTTTTCCATTCTTAGTTTAACAATTCTTATTTAACCTCAGGTCTTAACATTTAAAAAATTATTGAGATATAACTGACACAACATTATGTCATCTTAATTTCAGGTGTACAACATAATATTTCAATATTTGTCTATATCAGGAAGGTCTTAATATTTTTGCATGTACTGTATTTTATCTCCTTTGCTTCCCTTATGAGAATTCAAGGGACCCTCCCTCCCATAAGAAGAACATCCCTGTGATTCTGGTTGGCGACTGACTATTAATTATTCCTCCCACCCCTTACTCAGAACAGTGCTAAGAAGCTCTTTTGCAAATGAATACCCAAACCTCGGTCTGGTTCAAAAATCAAAAGCACAAGCTTTTGATCACAGTTTATCAACTGAATGACATGCCTTGGCCAGTTTGAAAGAACAAATTACTTCAGTTGTGATATTGGGCAGAAAGGCCTGAGGGTGTGGGCACATGGGTTGTGCTAAGAAATTAATGAAAGCACAAGGACTAAATAAGTAAGTGGATGGACCATCTGCAGAATGGTCAGAGAGCTCCCCCGGTTTGCTGAACGGTGCTTGCCCATCTTGGGTGTGTACTAGGGACGTGGTCATTGCTGGGTGGCTGAAAGCATAGGGGAGTATATAACGGGAGAATCACAGCAAGGATTGGTATTGGGTTACAGACAGGGATTCACCAAAAGGCAGATTGCTGAGTCGGTAGAAGATACTGAAATTGTATTGAGAAGATTAAGCCAGTGACCATGAACCTCCGGATTAGAGGCTGGGTCTCCGCCCGAGCCCGGGACTTACTGCACTCAGAGGGCCCACTTACCGAGACTAGCTTTCTATTTGGGAGAATGCACTGGCCAGCCCCTCGGGCAGCCATTCTGTGATATCAGACATACTAACGCTAAAGTGAAGGGGACCCAGGAGCTCACCCGGTCCAATGCCTTCGTTTCCCCCCTTTCACTTTTATCGATGAAAAAAAAAAAAAATCAAAGCCAGGTCCATAGTTAGTGGCGTGTGAGACTCAATAATATTTGTTGAATAAATGAAAGGAAGTTGGACTCATCTACTTTTGCTGTGACTGCAAATCTAGTCTCCAAACTTAAAGACCTTGCCTGTCAGAGAAGTATTGCCCACCCAGGGGGGACCCCATACCCCCAGGATCTCATTAGGACCCAGGGGCAGGGCTCCATCTTCGGGAGAAAGGGGGTAGACAAGGGTGGAGTGGGTTGACTTCTCAGAAGCCCTTCTCTGGAACCATTTTTCTAGCTTACACCCCAGTCTTGACCGTTACTCTCTGCCAAAGTCAGAACATAGGAGCCCCAGATGATGGAAAAGGAGGGAACTGGGAGAAATGGAAGTTTAGTAGCATCAGAATCCCACTTCACATCACAGTGTTGTAAAAACTCAGGCCTAGTGGGGTCAGCTATTTACATTAGTGAGTATCCATGTGCCAGGAATCTCTCCTCCCCCCACCCCCCACTGCACTCTCTCTCCCAGAATGGCTCATCTGGGGGCCTTGCCTTTCTGAACTATTTTGGCTCTAAAGAAGATGTCATTGTTTTGACTAATTTGAGTGTTGCTTTTCAAGAAACACAGAAAACTGAACCATTTATCTTCCTAGATTTTGCTGTTATAGCAAAAGTTGATGAGTTGGGAACAGATAAATTCACTAAAATTAGTTGTTTCCGGATACTTAGGTGATGAATAACTTAATAATGCTATAAAATCTATGTACTGTGGTGATAAAAATACCATTAATGCTCAGATAATAACTTAGCTCCAAATGAGAAAATTATTTTGAAAGGAAAAATATCTTATAAGAGAAAAAGAATACTATGAATAAATGAGAAATGAAAGCTTTTTCATGGATGGAAAACCAAGTATCCTTAAGATAACAAAACTCTATTCATATGATAACAATTTAAGTCTTCATAGTATTTTTTTTTTTGCGATATGCAGCCCTCTCACTGTTGCGGCCTCACCCATTGCAGAGCACAGGCTCCGGACGCGCAGGCTCAGTGGTCATGGCTCACAGGCCCAGCCGCTCCACAGCATGTGGGATCTTCCCGGACCAGGGCACGAACCCGTGTCCCCTGCATCGGCAGGCGGACTCCCAACCACTGCGCCACCAGGGAAGCCCCATAGTATTTTTTGATTTTATGTTTTAGATTTTATAAAATTTGAAACACTGGTTTTAAGATTCCTCCAGAAGAACAAGCAGGACAAATATGCAAATTGTTTTTTCCCAAAAGGATTGATAAAGGATTTAGTGTTTAGGTTTTAAAACAAGTGACAATTACCAAAACTATATGATATTGGGTTAAAAGCAAGAAAAAATATGGTATAGAATAGATATTTCAACAGTAAATAAAATTATTATAAGAACTTATTAATACATGAACAAAAGAATATACAAATGCAAGAAATAATTATTATTTACTACATGAGGCAATCAAGTCACAGTAAGGAGAATATACTAGATTCACACCTCATTGTATACTATAATACATTTTGGTCAAAGTAAAATGATGAACACATAAAGAAAGCTAGAAGAAAATAAGCATATTCTTTCCAATTAAGAAAGAAATACTTTTGATTCCTAATACATAATTAGACGTAAAAGAGTTAGAATACAAAAGGGCTTAAAAGATAAAATATGAGTGAGAACATTATATGTTATAAATGTTAAAAGAAAAGCTTTACCATAGAGAATGGAGAATTCATCTAATTAGTTAAGATCAATATTCAGCTTTCATTCAAAATGAGGTCACAGGAAATAAATGGAGAGTTTACACCCGAGGAAATGCAGACAATAAATCACCACATGGAAAAATGTTCAGTCTCCATAGAAACTAAAGAAATGCAAACAAAAGAACGTTGCAACACCACGGTACATCGATTAAAGGAAGCAGAGGCATTGGCTGTTCAGAGGATGGGCTGTGGAGTAGACAGATATAGACATGGATCCTGGCCTTGACACTTTTCAGCTGTGTCTTTGATCAAGGGTCCTAAACTCTCAACATCAGTTTTCTAATCAGTAACAGGAGGCTATTATATACTTACAAGAGTTACTGTGGGGACAAAGTCATTAACGTCAATGACTACAGTATTTGGCACATATTGAATATTTCCATTAATAGTAACAGCAGTGATGGAATATAGTAATGGTGGTATTGGTGCTGGTGCTGGTGAAGGTGTTGATGGTGTTGGTAGTGAAGATGATAGTAATTGTAGTGTGGATGCCAATCTTGGTGTTGATGCTCTTGGTGAAATTAATGGTTGGTAGTGCTGGTTTTGGTGGTGGTGGTGTTGATGGTGATGGTAGCAGATCATGGTGATGGTGCTGGTGTTGGTGGTGAAGGTGATGGTGGTAGTGGTGGATGAGGACTAGTGATGTTAAAGATGGTGGTGATGGTAGCAGATCATGGTGATGGTGGTGGTGGTGCTGGTGTTGGTGGATTTGATGATGGTGATGGTGATGGTGGTGGTGGTTTTACTGATGAAGATGATTGTGATGATGGTGACATTGGTGCCATGGTGGTCGTTGATAAGGTGATGGTGATGGTGATGGTGGTGGTGGATAAGGATGCTGGTGGTGGTATTGATGGTGATGGTAGCTGATGATATTAATGGTTCTGTTTTTGCTTGTGTTGATTAAGGTGATGATGATGGTAGTGGTCGTGATGTTGGGGGCAGTGGTCGTGATGTTGGGGGCAGTGGTCGTGATGGTGGTGTGGTCAAAAAAATGTTAAAATAACTACCGTTCTTGGTGGATAAATCAGAAAAACGAAGTGTTAAAAATTCAGTGCTATTGGCCTCATAATTTATTCTGTAGTCTTTCTGGAAAGCAATCTAGAAATATATAGAAAAAGATATAATATATTGTACACTTTGATATAGAAGTTAAACTCTTGGGAATATACATCAGAAAAATATCTCCCAGATTAAAAATGGTCTGGAAATGGGATAACAGTGCTCTTTATAACTGGGAACAATCCAAAGCCTCAACAACAGGGAAATGACTAAGCAAATCATGATACATCAAGATGATGGAATAATATCATGCAATTATTTAAAGTGAAACATGAGGAAATATGCATATAAAAAACGGCATTAGACCAACACAAAACCATGTGCTTAGTCAGTGTGCTTTTAGCAAGGAACAGAAGAAAATATAAATACATGTGCTTAGAGCTCAATAAAGGTTTACGAATTAAGTTTTTCCCTTTTTAAATTCTTGCTCAATAGACTCAATTTAGGAAAGGTCATGATTAAACTCAGGCTATACCTCACTCCAAACAACTGGTCGCTAACTGACTGGTTCTGAGTCCATTTATCACCTGTCTTTTAGCCCCCATCCCAACTCTCATTTTATCCTCACAATGGTTAGAAAGAGCTTTCAAAACCTAACAATTTTTTTGTTTCAAAGCCCCACCCCCAAATAAGAGGTCACAAAAGAACCTAGAGGTATGTATGTACGTATCAATTAAGTCTGTATCAATTAACTTGAATGTGAGTTAGGTTTGTGGTTGAATATAAAAATCCCACAGGTATTGCTAAGTTGTGAAATTGGGAGTACTTTCTTGACTTCTCTGTGTCTCCATTTCTCCAGCTGTAAAATGGTAATGACAATAGTAGCAAATTCATTGAGCTGTTGCGAGCGTTAAGTGAGGGGCTCCATGTAAAACGTGGCAGAGTGCCTGGCACAGAGTAAGTTAATGTCCATTATTATTTGTATTGAATACAATCATTGCTATTATTATATGTACTCTTCCAGAAAGTACCAAGAGCTCTAGACCAGAAGCAAAAGCATTGAGTTTCCAACTAATTTATACAATGGGAGGGTTAGTTCAGGTGATTTGTGACATTCTTTGTCTAGGAAAGAATAAAGTTTTCTTTCTTTTTGCCTCATGTCAAGAAGAATAATAAACTCAAGAAATAGAAACTAAAATGGACTTCCTCCAAAACTCTTATTTTTAAAAAATTAAATATTGCATTAATAAAATACTAAAGTTTACCTCGCTTAAATATTCTGAACATTTTCTTTACTCTCTTAATGGAAGCACCAAAAAGACTGTATTTCTTCTTCAAATGTTACTTATCATTGAAATAAATAATAGCTGCTTTCTCTAAGTTGAACTTAATATTTTTTTTTCAATAATTTCCTCCTTGACTTGAGTTTCTGTATCTTCAATTTTTCACTAGGGTTTTTGTTTTTTCTGGAGTTTTTTAATTTTTCAAAACAAATTCAATTTCAATTCCCATCAAGATAGAAAAAAGGATGCAAGGACCGCTTAAGAAGCAGGCAGGTAACGTAGGCCCTAGGAAGTACGGCGCCCCCAGGTGTTCACCCAGGCGTTTTTCATACTCTTACGTCCTCAATAGAGACATGCCTCTGAAAACCCCTAGAGGGCGCTGTTTTCCGACTTGTTTTCACCTCCCCCTTGTTTTCTCAATTGGAAAAGGCAAGGAAGAGTGAAGTAAACGAAACACAGAGGCTGTGCACGCCCAAGGGGAACGAGAGTATGGACGCTAAGTTTCTGTTTCCCCGGTGAGGATGCAGAAGCCCAGAGAAGTGCGGTGCTTGGCCAAGGTCACTCTGCTATTCATTAGAAGTAGACAGAAAGCTAGGATCCAGACCTCAGACCCAGACCTTCTCTGCTCCACCACTTGCCCATTTCAATGGGTAAAACACAATATCCATCAGGCGGGAACCTTGAACACACACTTTGGGTGCACATTCTCCCTTGCTTTATAGTTTTGGTTTCCAAGGAGCACTGTCGATGACTGACAAGCAGGGATATATTTAAAAGTGTATAATTCACCGGGATTTTCTACCTTGCGACTCTCCCCAGCCTGCTCATAAATCACACCTAATGATTTTGCCTCATTAGCACCAACAGAGTTGGTTGCTGCTACTGGATGGTATGGTGATGTTGAGACCATTGATGATGATGATGACGATGACAGCTAACATTTACTGAGCACCTTCCGTGTGCCAGGTACTGGGCTAGGTGCTTTACATACCTCTCTAGAAATATACATAAATTTGGAAATTTCATGCTGTGATTCTGAATCCTTTTGCTTTCGCTACTGTTATGAACTTTCAGGGCACAGGTAAAATGTAAATGGAGACTTGCCGCCCACCTGGAGAACTGGGAATCTAGATTCCTTCGGGTGACCTGAACGAGGATGTTTTGGGGAACTGGACTCTCTCATTAAACAGTCATAGATTTCACAGGGTTTGTCTTTGGGGGGCCATAGAGGTACTGAAGGTGTAAAAATGCATCTCCAGTAATTCCTAGGGTTACAACACAATGAATAAAAGCTATAATCTACGTTTTATCCTATTGAAGCCAAAGAAAGTGAGAAATTCTCTGCTTGAATTCGAAATGGATCTGGAAAAATCATCGAACAATGAAAATCAAATGCAAAACTCTCTCCTAAATCATCAAGGCTGTGGGAATTCATTTGCTGTGTTTGAAGACTTCATTCTTGGGCACTCAGCTTCCCCAGAACCCCGCTGGCACCTAGCACACTTTCCATAAATAAATAATTCTGAGTTTGCTGACCTGGAGCAGTGAGGAGGCAGCTGCCCCTTCTCCACCCTGCTCTCCTCTGAGAGTAAAACGCCCTCTTACATTTTTAATGCCACTCCCAAGACTCTGTGTCAAGTTTCCACAAAGTTTGCCAGAGTAATTAGCTGCCTTTTTTTAATAGGCAGTTCCAAGTGTTCAGAAAATAAACGAATTTGACAACAATCTTTTTTTAATTAAAAAAAAATCATGACTCAACACAGTTGATTTTACACTTTCAGAAAGATTGGCTTCTATAATTTTACCACCTGGCCTGACACACTGAAATTTACTTTATTTAATACAATAACAATAAAGTTATTATTATTTTTCTTACTTCCTTCTCTTCCTTCCGCTCACAGATATGGGAAGCATGACTCACCCTAGACTGACTCAGAGAGAGTGTGACCTCATAAAGCACTCACAGAGTCGGGGTCTCAGGGGCTCCATTCTCCATGATGCTGGGTACCAAGAAACCACTGGCCTTCTGGGCAACAAGATAGTGTTATGTGTAAATTTGGGGATCTTACGTGTAAATTTACTTAATGCCATTGGGTCCATGGTTCCTTGTATATCAAACAAGATAACCAACATCAGAAGCACTAAGCCAGATAAAATGAATTTCGTTATTATTCAAATTCCAGGTAATTTTATTTTATTTTTTAAAAAATATATCTAATTTTAAAAATGTAGTAAGTAATCTATAAATTGTGAATAATCTAAAAATTATAGACAGATACAAAGAGGAAAAAAATGGCAAGGGCTAACTATGCAAATATAACCCCTGTTAACAATTCTCTCTCTCTGTGCTCTACACAAGATTTTTTATTTTTTTACAGCTGCAAAATTGAAATCATACTGTATTACCAGTTGGTATGTATCAAGATCCCACTATCTTCCACATCTTCTTCTTTCCTATTAAATAGTATCCATAAAATTTCTACCACGCCCTAGACATTGGAAGCCCTGAATAATTGTGCGATGAATATAAATATTTCATTATTAATATTTCATTATTATTATTTCATTATTACCTTCAAATACAAATTTCACAATCACCTTAACTGTGTACAGACAGGTGCAGACACTTTGGGGTAGGTAGGTGGGAGCAGGGGTGGGGGGATAGGGCTGAGAAGAACGATGCCTGAATTACCCCCTTAGTTTCCTGAATTATCTTCTCTACAAAGACTCTGAGTGAATGCCAGTTTGCATTGAAGGTAAACAAAGTGGACTTGATTTCCAGAGAGGACTCTTGCCTCACTTCCCAATAAGTGTGCCAATTTCCTTAACTCTGACTTGTAATTTTGCCTGTGGGACTTTGGTTCCCTCCACTGTGCCATGAAGGATATCTCCAAGGCTCCTTTCTCCTCTGACAGTCTCTGCTGCCATCTGGTCTGCCTCACTTAAAGACCTTCCTAGTCAAAGTAAAGTTATCAGCAAGACAGGCTCATGAATTCTACCTTAATGGAAACAAAAGAAACATGATGAAGGATTAATACAGTGTCCTCAAAACAACCTGTGACCCTTGTCTAACAGTGCCAAGAGGGTGGAAAGTCAAAAGCCTCTTTACTGTCTGACCACCTGGGACTGACTGCCTGTCCTGGGATTAGACATTTTACATCAGCCCGTATGGCCATCAGTGTGGTCACCAGAGACCCCACTGCTCACCTGAAAACTGTGTTTTTTACGTTTAGTTGGGCGTATTCCCCAGGCAAAGCCCTTTGAAGCAGAATCCAGTTAAAGTAGTTTTAACGTCCTTCTTTTAGTA